CAGACTGGTGCTTAAAAGCCAGGTCTTCAGAGACAGCTAACCTGGGCTGGAGTCCTGGATCTGCCACTTACACCCTGTGAGACCTTGGCAAGTGCCTTACCCTTCCTGAGCTTCCAATTTCTCACGTGTAAAACAGGTCTGAGAACATAACATAGTGCAGCCAATTTAGAAAAACATTTCAATCCTTTCTTTAAAAGTTAAGCATAAGGGGTTGGGGATTTAGCTCAGTGGTTCCACTACCTGCTTTGCAAGCACAAGGTCCCGAGTTCGATCCCTGGTACCAAAAATAAATAAATAAATAAAAGTTAAGCATAAATGTGCCGTGTGATCCAGCAATTCTACTCCAAGGTAACCACCCAGGAGAAATGCAAACAAATGTCCACGAAAAGACCTGCAGACATAGGTTCTCAGCAGCACTGTTCACCATGGCCAAGAATGGCAATGTTCACCGACAGGTGAATGGATGGACCAAATGTGGTACACCTACTCAATAAAAAGGAACAAGCATTCATGTATGACCACCTGGGAGAAGCCTCAAAACAGTACTCTAAAGCAAAGAAGCCAATCACAAAAGATCATACATTGCATGCTCCCATGTAAATGAAATGTCCAGCAGAGGCAAACACAGAGAGGCAAAAAGTAGATTTGTGTTTGCCTGGGGCTGAGGCTGGGGCTGGGACCCTTGAATGTGACCCTTCTTGCACATTGGCAAGAAGCTTCTTTTGATAAAAACGTTCTAAAACTAGGTTGTAGGGAAAGCACAACTCTGTAAACTAACTGAAAACCACTGAATTGTACTCTTAAAATGGGCAAATGTTATGATATGTAAATTAAACCCCAAGCTATCTTTTAAAAATAGGGTTTGACTTTCTATGTAACCTCAAAGGGCTGCTGTGAAGATTAACTGAGCTAACATGTGGGAAGCAGTGCCTGGTACAAAGTCAGCAACTGATAAATAATCATGAAAACGACAATCAGAATACATAATAATAAGAGATTATATAAATGTAGAATAATAGAGAGTGTAGAAACAACAATTCATATAACTTACCAGTTTTTATCATATCATTTCATCATTTACCAACTCTAACCCTTCAACAGCTTTACAAGGCAGGTATATTATTATCATCCTCATCTTTACAAATGGGGAAACCGAGGCACCAAGGAGTTAAGTAACTTTCCCTGAGAATGCACAGCTAGCAAACAGTAGAGCTGAGATTTGAATCCGGGAGGACAAACTGCAATTTGTACCCTGGGCCTAACACTTCCTTGTTGCCCACTAATCAGCTAGGGACTGAGTTTCTGCTCTAACTAGTGATGAGGTGGGGTAGAGAAAAGGCTCACAGGCAGCTCCCCAGAGGAGAAGCTGGACCCAAACCTGAAGAGTTAGAAGGGTCAGCCAGAGAAAGAGTGCTTCAGATAGAGGAACCCACATATGTGAAGGGGAGGGAGTACAGGGGAGGAGCCAGGAGGGGCTGGAGCTGGCTGACCAATGAGAGGATGCAGGAGCAGTGAGGGTGGGGCTCAGGCAGGTCCAAGGTCAACGACGTCGTCTTAGGGCACTGCAGAGCCAGAGAAGGAATTCAGCGCATTCCCCAGTGCTGCCTGTCTGGGGAACAACTCACATTCCCCGGGCAGGTGAGAAAGGTTGACTCAGAGGATGCTATGAGCTCAAGGGTGAGGGGGAGCTGCCCCCACGCTCCCACCCCACTGTGATCTGACACCCCAGCAGCCTCCCAAACACCACAAGGAGAAGCTGTAACCAGCCAGGCAGCAGCAGCAGGCTGTCAGGCTGCCAGGAAGTGGAGCACAACACAGCAAGATCAAAGGCTGACTGATGGCAGCCTCGCCCACCTATACCAGCCACCTGTGGACCGCAGGGGCACCTTTCACCTCACCCTGCTCCCAGTAGGGCACAGTACACAGGGCTCCAGCCCTGCCACCCTCACTTGGCTGTCCCCAGAGCCAGGGCACAGCCCACGGGGTCTAGCATTTTTCTCATTTAAATGTAATACCCTTCAATCCGGCTCTTCTATTTTTCCACTTTGTCCTAAACTATTTGCATGTGTGCAAAAAGCATTCACTATGTCAAAAGCAAAAATACTGGAGTAATCTCCATGGCCATCAATAAGCAAAAATTCTGTTGAAACCATACTACAGAATACTACACAGCAGTGAAAACAAACAATGCAAATCTATTGCACTGCCCATAAAAATATTTCCAACATACACTGTTGAGTGAAAAGAAAAAAAGAAAAACTGCAGAATAATATATCCAGAATTTCAAGATGTCATCACTTACATAAAAGTTTGAAAGAAAAAGAAACTTGGTTCTATATTTCTCCAAGTCCACAAATACATAGATAAACGAGCAAATGCCTGGAAGGAAACATATCACTCTGACATATCGTAGAAAAGGGAAGGAAGAAAGGAACAAAGACTTGGTGCTTTGTGTATATGTTGTTTGATGTGTGTGTGTGTGTTGCTGGGGACTGAACTCGGGGCTTTATATATGCTAGGCAAGTGCTTCTCCTACTAAGCAGTAGCCCTTTTTCTGGTTTGAGACAGGGTCTTGCTAAATTCCCCAGGCTAGCCTGGAATTTATAATCCCTCTCCCTCAGCCTCCCAAGTACCTGGGGTTATAGGTGTGCTTGATTTTTACAAGAAGAATATGTTTGTGTGTATTTGAGTTCTCCAAAACATTAAAGTCTGCAAAAAAAGCAAAGAAAAATGTGTTTAAATTACCACCGTACTGATACATGGCTCAGGGTAACTTTTCAGTTACCCTGTATCTTTGCTGGATCTTTTCCAATTCTGCTACACCTTCTTGTAGGTAAGTGTTCGAGACCCCATTTTACACATCTGAGAAGTTGGACCTGGAGAAGAGGAACAAGCTGCTCAGGGTCACAGGTGGGAGGTGGGAGGACTGGTCCCTGAACTCCATGCCCAGTGCTCTTTCTAATCAGCACATGTGACAGTCATCAAGGGGAGATGCCACACAGCCAGCTCACAGAGCCCCAGAGAAGCCCCTCGGAAGGGGAAGGAGGCTTTGTCAGGGAAGGAGGGAGTAAATGATGAGTGGGGAGAGAAGAGCTGATGAACCAATGCCTCTGTCAAAAATTAGACATCATGATGAGCCGCCCACTGAGTGGGACGCACTGCCACGTCATCAGGGAAAGCACAGGTGGGAAGGAGCCTCAAGGCCACGTCCCTGAGCCTGAGACTTCATGCCTGGGGGGGGGGGGTTGCTCACCCCAGGCTCTTAGCGGAGCTGTTTCCAGTCCAATGGTTCTGGGAATGGACCTCTCTGCTCATGTTCTAGAGCCCCAGTTACAGGATGAAAACAGAATTGTGTTTGCAGAGGTTGAGTATCCCTTATCCAAAATGCTTGGGACCAGAAAAGCTTCAGATTTTGGATTTGTTTTTAGACTTTGGAATATTTGCATATACATAATGAGATATCTCAAGGATGGAACCCAATGAAATTGTTTTACATTGATACACACACTTGATACACACAGCCTTCAGGCAATTCTATACAGTAGCTTTAGCACATCTGTACTTTGACTGTAGTCCAACATGTGGAATTTTCCACTTGTGGCATCAGGTAGGCTCCCAAAATGGTTCCAGTTGTGGAATGTTTCACATTTCAGATTTTTGGGAGTAAGGATGCTCGAACTGTAAAACTCAACACCTTTCTGTGTTGTAAGTGCCAGCATCCCTCAGTTCTTCCACTGACTGCTTTAGCACAGGCCCCGGAGGATGTGCAGAGGGCTCAGGAAATGTGTGGGGCATCTCCGGGAGTAGCCAGTTAGGCTTCAGCATCCAGGGAGGAATCAGAGGCTGCTGGGGGTATCACAGGACGTGCCCACAAAGCCCGACCACAGTGACAGGGTGACTCCTCAGAACACACCCAGAGAAGGAGGCTGGGGCATCATGGAGCCACCACAAAGCTTTACCATTCCAGGCAAACCTACAAAGCCATGGGGGCAGTGACAGAACCTTGGGTCCTGGGGATCCTGCTCTACCACCTCAGCCAAGGCTCCGAAGCTCTCTGAGTCTCAGTTTCCTCATGTGTAAAATGAATGTTGTCAAGAGTGGCTCTTGAGTACAGTGATATCTGGATCATGGGGCCCATAATAATAATATACCCAATAAAATACAGCAAGTGTAGGAACCTATACAACTTGGAAACAGATTACAGGGACATGAACATGTTTACATTTATTTATTCACTTATAGAGAGAAAATGTCCTAGACAACCTGGAGTATGCATACTTGTCTACGTTTCTAGGCTTTATGGACATCCTATGATGATGTCAACTATATTATAATAAACTATATTATATCGATCTAGTGAAATAAATGTTACATTCATAATATATAAAATATTTATAACCATGTAGCATGAGGTACTATGTCTAAGAGAACTTTACAAATATTTTCTAATTTAATGTTCACAGCTGGCCCTTACAGCAGATTCTATTATTAAGCCCTACTGGCAATGTCACATAGGTACCCCAGGATGTCTAGAAGTCGCAATCTGTGCTTTTAACCACCTCCTACACCTTATCTGCTGCAGTGGGGACCAGTGAAACCAGAAGCATGCAGGGCACCAGGCAAGGGGCCCACACAGAGGAAGGGCTTAAGAAAGGAAAGGTCCTACGAGCATCTAGCTCTTGGAGAGGAGATATTCGATCCAGCTTATCCATCCTCCATCTAGAGTAGCAATGTGCAGGAAGTAGGTTGTCAGTAAATATTTGTGGGAGGGAAGGAAAATTATTACGGCATTCATTAGTCAAAGGCTGGAATCCTTGTTTCCAACAACAAAAATGTCTAAGAAACAAAGCCAAAGTTTTCCTAGGAATATCCACTGGCAAAGACGAAGAGGAAGGTGGGCGGTGCTGCCTGTCCTCTGGAGAGGCCCCACACAGCCCCAGCCCCCACCTCTGCTGCGTAGACCCGGAATCCAGGCCCTGGCCTGAGGCCCAGCCACTTACCTTCCTCGGTGTCGTTGCGCAGCGACGCCTCCAGCAGGGCCACGCTGGCCTCGAAGGACACCTTCTTACGGCGGCCACCCGCGCTGCGCTTCCGCTCATGCTTGCGCTTGGGGTGCTGCAGGTCCTGCTCGTACTGCGCCCACTTCTTCAGCTGCTGGGCCCGGCGCTTCTGGGCGGCGCGCAACCGCTCCAACGTGGGCACCTTCTCCAGCAGCTGCAGCTCGGTCAGCAGGTCCACGTGGCTGGCCATGGCCGCCGCGCGTCCCCACACCCTGGTGGGGCTAGCACGGTGCACCCGGGGCCAGGGGGGCGCGCGAGCTCCAGAGGGGCTGGGGCCTCATGGTGGGGCCTATGGCGTGGGGAGAGAAACATAGAGTGACATGCTGTTCAGGCTCGAAAATGCTGATGTGACGGTGTCCTCCCCACCACCCCACGTTCAAAACCCTTTGGAGGGTTTCTTTCCATTGGTTCCAGGACAGGAGCCTGCAAGTACCAGCAAGGTTCCCAAGGTGCTGAGGAAGGGGTGGCCACGTGTAGCCTTTTGGATTTAAACTAATTAAAGTAACCCTAAGTAACATGACTCCCTTCCTCAATACCACTAGCTACATTTCGAGTATACAATAGCCACATGCTTCCAGGGGCTGCTATACTGGATACATAGCAGGGATAGAAACCCTTTCTGCCATTCCAGAAAGCTCTGAGACAGCCATGGTTACCTGCCTTTCCCCCACAAGCACCCAGCAGGAGCCATGTCTCCAGCTTGCTTACATCGTACTCTGAGGGGTTAGGCACTGGAGCCAGAGGACTACCTGGAGACTCGGAACATGATGGGGGCTGCAGAACCCGGAAAATCTGGAGACCACATGAGCATCCAAAGAGAAGCCGAGTCCTCAGAAATATGAATATCCGATACTTCTGCACAAGCCTGTTTTGTTCGGCTCATCATGGGATGCAAGTTGTTATGGAGACAAGAGAGATAGGATCAGAAAGAAACGGGAGGATGGAATATACTACTGCAAGGGTCCTCAGAGTATAATCTGGGAACCTTGTGGGGAATCCCTGAGACCCTTTCAAGAGGTCCACAAGGTCAAAACTATTTGCATAGATAGATTGACTAAGATGTTATTAAATTTTTCCATTATCATCTCACAAGTATACAGTGGTTCCCAAAGCTTCATGACATGTGGCATTGCAACAGATTAAGTGTAGACACAGATATGAAAATCCAGATATTAAATAAAGAGATTTGCAAAAAATGTAAAACAATGGCACTTCCCTCACTAATTTTTTTTTCCTCACTAATTTTTGTTGCTGTTTTGGAAACAGATATTCTTTCCATCAGTGTCACTTATTGCTATAAAAGCTTTATTATTTTTAAGGAATTAATAGTATTTTTAAAATCTCAGTTAAATATTGATGGATAAAAATTTACAAAAGCTCGTTGGGATTCTAAATTTAAAAAGATAATGTTAAAAAGATAAAAGTTTAATAACTCCCAAACTACTGGAATCTAGACAATCTTAGCTGAACTTTCCCTCTTTGGATACCCTTTAAAAGAGAAAAAGAAAAAAGAAAGAAAGAAAAGCATGCCTCTTCCTCTCACGAGTCTCAAACAACATGAGGTCAGCAGAATTTCATACATAGCCTTCAGACCAACTGATTTTCATGCCAGCACAGATGCAAAAGAAAGAGGTCTGAGGACAATCTCTTGAACCTCTCCAAGCTTGTCTTCCCACCTGCAAAGTGTTCTCTTGCCTCCTAGAATTTACAAGGTGATCAAGGAATAAAATGAGCTGGTCAAAAAATTATGCACCTAATAGCAAAGAGAAAGAAGCTTGGGGGATGAAGGGCAGGGAGAGGTAAATGCAGCACTGGCAAGGCTAGCTGCTAGTTGTTAGGAGGCAGGGAAAGATGGGCACAGGCAGAGGACGTCTTAGGGGCGTGGAAATGCCTGCTTTCTTAAAGAGGATCCAAACACCCCTGGGCTTCAGGAAGTCATTGTTAATCTCCCGGGTTATCTGTTGCCCTCACCCTTCCTAAGGAGGCTAAAGACCAGGATTTGGCTTCAGCCTGCATACACAGACACACACATCCCACCCATATCCCAAACTCAGGATGGATGAGAATTGGTCTTCAAGTCTCTCCCATCCCTGATATGAGACGGCAAACCTGCAAAATGGGAAGGGGTTGGCTTGGCAGTTCCCACAGGCAAAGGCCCCAGGGCTCTGAGCGTGTCTGACCTCAAACATAAATAAGCCAGTCAAGGCTCAACAGGAAACTAGCTGACTGCCTTTGGTCACCTTTTGTGTGCTTTCATTTTGATTTCTGTTTTGAATACCTTGCAATCCTTTTCTACTTAAGAAAACATATTACTGGGTCGGGGATTTAGCTCAGTGGTTCCGCCACCTGCCTCGCAAGCACAAGGACCCCAGTTCCATCCCCACTATCAAAACCAAACCAAACCAAACCAAAAGTATTACTTTGAGATCATTGTAGATTCACATGCAATTGTAACAAATAACACAGAAAGGTCCCAGTATACTTTACTCAGCTTCCCCCAGTGGTGACATTCTCAAAACCTACTGCACAATATGACTGCTGGAAACCTGATACTTATACAATCTACCCATTTTATTTTATTCACCCATCTCACTCAGATTTCCCCAGTGTTACAGGTACCTTTATGAATGTGTTTCATTTTATGAAATTTTATTAATGTATCCACCTCCACAGTCAAGACAGAAACAGTTCCATCACCAAATGGATCCCCATGTCTTTTTATAACCATATCTACATCCTTCCCTAAGCTCCCCTCCAAATCCACTCCTGTCCCTGCCCTAAGCAATCACTAATGTATTCCCCAACTAGAATTTTGTCATTTAAAAAAATACTATGTAAATAGAATCTGAGAGTAGGTAGCCTTTGGGGGTTGGCATTTTCTACTCAGCATCATTCCTTTGAGATTCCACAAACTGTCATATGTATCAATACTTCATTTCCCATTGTTGGCAAGTAGCACTCCATTTCATGGATGTACCCTAATTTGTTTAACCATTCACCTGCTCGAGAACATCTGGGTTGTATCCAGTTTGGGTTTTTATGTGAATATAAGTTTTCTTTCCTCGGTGGCAAATACCCAAAAGTACATTTGTTGGGTCATCTGATAACTGCACCTTTAATTTTATTTTGTTTGTTTGTCTTTGTTTTTTGGTACCAGGGGTTGAACTCCGGACCTTGCACTTTCGAAGTGGCAGAACCACTGAGCTAAATCCCAGCCCTTGCATCTTTAGATTTATTTATTTATTTATTTATTTATTTATTTATTCTTAGGTACCAGGGATTCAACTCAGGACCTTGCGCTTTCGAGGCAGGCGGCGTAACCACTGAGCTAGATCCCCGGCCCACCTTCAGTTTTAAAAGAAATTCCCAAACTGTTCTGCAGAAGGGTTGGACCAGTTTTATTCCTCCCAGCAGTACAAGTGATCTAGTTTCCCTGCCAGCATTTGGTACTGTCACTGCTTTATATTTTAGCCATTTGGATAGATATTTTGGCTGATTTTTTAGAAGGAGTTCAAAAGAGGTGAATTCACAACCACATAGCATCATGGTGATGGTCAGACCACTAGAGCTAGAGGACCACATGCCTATTTTGCCCCACTTCCTGATATGAGCCAATGTTCATGAACACCTGCCCTGTGACCGTCCCCATTAAGAGGTCCTGGTCGGTCACCTATCCATAAATTCATTTAATCCTCCCAATAAGTAGGGACTATTGTCATTTTCCAGATAAGAAAACTGAGGTACAGAGAAATTCAGTAATTTACTGAGTATCACACAGTTAGAAAATGGAAGCATCAGTCTTCTTCCTGGTGTTATCAGGGAAGCTCACCAGAGTAGGGGACGTGGATTTGAATCTCAAAGCATCAGTAGGAGCTCACCAGGTGAGAGGAGCAGAGGAGCTGAGAGGGACTCTGGCAGTGTTCAAAGACATGCAGAGGGCCTGACCACAACAGAAGGAGCTGTGGAAACCGTCACACTTCACAACCTGGAGAGCACAGGTTGCCCGCACCCAAGGGATCAGAGAAGTCTGGAAGCAGCGATGAGTGTAGCTAGGATGCAGACTTAACCAGAAGATCCCCTGTGGTCCACCTCATGTTTGTTGTTCGGTTTGGTTTTAGTTCAGACCATATTTTACAGTATCTTAATTCATTGCTAACATTTAAAGCTTAGACATTTTATACTCAACACCAGATTTTCTTAGAACAATTCAATATCTGGCCACGCTGGGCTCACATGGCAGCCACCAGCAGGTGCAGAAAAGGGCCCTTTAGATAAAGCACACGCCCTCTCATTTTCAACAGTCCCCACTGCTCCCCAGCACTCCCCCACCCGACCTCTTGATATCACTTGCTGGAACCCAGAATCATTTGAGTTTGCAAGCCTTGTCTTAGGCAGAATAGCTCAGCAGTCTTCCAATATCCAGAAGTCTAATCTAAACAAGAAAAGCAAGATGGTCTGTGAGTCTCTCCAATGCAGACCTGACCAAGGTACAGGGAAGCAGTTTTGACAAGTGACCTCCAGAGCCCTCCAAAAAGCAATTCAACAAAGGTGCTCATGGTTCAGTGGCTGTCAGAGGAACTAGGCAGATTCCCCACTCACTGAAAGGCAGTTTCCACTGGAGTCAGACTGGCCTGAGCATTCTGTAAGATTTCTTTCAGCCTTAAGAGTCTATACGGTAACTCACTTCTTCATTCTTATTTCTGATCATCTAGTAGGTAGAAGGTCCCCAAAACATCCTGAGAGTAAAGACAAGAATAATCATACCGGCCAGGGATTTAGCTCAGTGGTTTCGCCGCCTGCTGCACAAGCGCAAGGACCGGAGTTTGATCCCCGATACCAAAAAAAAAAGAATAATCATATCAATCATCTGCACTGTTAAAGTACTTTACCCCTTTCAAAGGCCTTTCCCTGCCATCATCTTAGCCAAGTACTTCCCTAAGCATGGAAAGAACCTACACAAGGGAACTATCGAAGAACAGGACCAGGCTTAACATAAGATGGATCTGCACAGAGAGCACTGCATACTCTTTCCGCTTCCTTTCTAATAGTTCAGAGTTTCTGCAGAGGAAAGTGTCAGTCTGGGGCTAATAGGTCCTTAACATTTTTATAACCATGCCAATTTCCCTTGTAAATGAAGAGAAGGACAGCCTCAGGCTCCTAGCTTTGGGCCCACAACAGAATCAGGGATACAATGGAATAAAGTTGTTTTGTTTTCTATGGGTTTGTTTTCACAGTTACTGTTTATTTGTAGTAGTGATATAAAATTTCTTTTTTAAAATAAATCTATTT